ATGTCATAAACATTTGATATATGAAAAAATATTTTAAATGGACACAATTTTTTCTAAATTTTGATAACATTTTTTGGGAGGAAGAGGTAACATATTTCAAAAGGGTTATCAAATGAAACAATAATGAGATTTGATTTAATCAATGAAAAATAAAATAAAAATTCCAAAGATGTCAACCAAGTAATGAAAATTGCATAGGTGGTATACGACCTATATGTCACGTGTTATCCTTCAACAAAAACAAATTTATTTAATTTAATTTGTTGATATAATATATTAGAAATTAAATAATGTTACAGATAAAACATTTTGAAATAAAATATATAATTATGGCTCATATCAATTCTTTATCCTTCAACATTCTAATTTATTAAAAATTGTGCAAAGTCAAACTCGTAAGAAATTTCTACGACAAAGGGAGTATATGACATGCAACATGTATCATCTATTTCAACTCTAACTTTGATTTGTTTAATTTGTTGAAAAAATATACATTGTATACTAAAATATACTTCTTAGTATGTAATAGGATAAAAAGTTTGAAATAAATCTTGCATTTAATAAATATTTATATGTGATTAAAAATTATAATACTATTTTGAAAATTGTTTGAGTTGATGAAAATTAAAATAAAAATGTCAAATAGATCAATTAAGTATTGACACGTCATTAGAGAATGTATATCAATCATATGCCAAATGTAATTCTTTAATTTAAACTTTCACTTTGTTTAGTTAGCTGAATGAATATATAATCAAGATGCATGTGTGAAAAACTTTATGTATAATAAATCTTTTGAGATGATGGATAATTTTTAAAAATTATAAGCAACATTGTTTTTTAATATATAAATCTTATATAAATTTTATAAAAATTTTAAATAGTTGTGCATATTTAAAAGATATGTTAAAACAATGAAAAATATTTCTAAAATAAATAGATAGTGAAAAGTTCAAAAATAATGGTTATTTAATGTTGGAAAGTGAAGGATTTATAAAAGAACTAATATTGGTACATTTGGCGGACACATGTTAGTAGTATGAAGTATGAACGCGTGGCTGCCACGTGAATTAATATTCGCCACATCATAGGACACGTGTCAACACTACAACTCTTAAACTCTTTTTTACATATACATATAGGATAGGATATATGATAAGATAGGATAACTATGTCCATATGTAAACCTTTTCCTGATTAGAGGTAAAATTAGGCTAATAGTGTATTTAAACTGTATAGTATTTTATGATCATGTCAATTTTAGCACACTTTGAGTATTTTTTAACCCAAAAAGGCAGGTTAGGAGATCGGTTTGTTGCTGTTTCGTCATCAAATACTTATTTAGAATTTTAAACAAAGTAAAACAATTTCAATTATTTGAAAGATTAGAATTCCAAAATGGTTCCTTAAAAAATAAGTGTTTTTAAAACTATCATATACTTCTTCAGTTCCAAATTAAATTGCATTTTTACTATTCATAGGGTCAAACTCCATTCTTTTTCTTTCTCTATTTTCATTAGTCATTTGATAAAATAAAAAAGTCATATCCCTAGTAGTTTTATAGATCTTTTGATGTAATATTTTAATATGTAATTTTTTTAATTCTACACCATTTTTCATATAAAATAAGCGATATAAATTGGGAGAGAGGAAGTATGTGTTTATTATTAAAAATTGTTCTCCCCAACAAGCAATAATTATAACTCATTTGGAGAAGCACCTTATTCAATTATGTGTATATCACTTAAGGAAATTACTTCCTAAATTTGACTATAATGCTTCACAATGAAAAATGAATATCTTTGAAATAAATGTGAATTGAAACTTGGCTTTGGGCAAGACAAAATGCAATTTTTTAGGAAAACATTCATACCAATACCCCTAGACTTGGGGGTATAAACATTACTTCGAGAATCTCTTTTGCATACCCATACTCTAAGAAATTTTATGTTGCTTCTTCATCTTCTAAGTAAACTTTACTCTTGATTACATGTTATTATTTTGGTTGTCATAACATTTAAAATAAGGAGTTGGCAACAATATTAAAATAATGAAACAATCAAAATATATGTTTTGGAATTAATTTATTAATTTTCAAAAGGTAGAAGTATTTATTTCAAATTAAAATCCCAATTTTTTAATTGACACCTATACACACACACACACACACACACACACACACACACACACACACACATACATATACATACACACACACACACACATATTTGACATACTTAATTATCATATAATTAAAATGTCTAAATATAAACATATATTATATTTATATACATGTGTATTCTTACATATTATCACACAATATTAATAAACATAATATAAAAATCATTTTACTCCATTTCAATATTCTACAGTTTCATATGTTCTATGTGTGTAACCCTATTCTAAGTACATATAACGTTGGCCATAGTATTGATTAGATACTACAAGTGATAAGTGGTATCTAGTAACAATTCCTACAATGACACATCTCATTTGTACAACTCTTATCCCTTTATCATTAATATCTTGATTTAACACAAGGTATGAGATGTGTCATCTTGTTAGAGTTAAATCGATGGTTTACTGATTCTTTGATTGACTTGTGGGATTCAAATAGCATATTTACGCAGGCATGATCTTGCACTTCCCATGTCACATCATTGAGTAGGCCCTAAGATATTAAACTTCAATATGGAAGGGATAAATTTTATCTATGTCATTCACATCTCCACATAAGTCTCATTAAATACCCAAAACATAATTATATGTCTACAGTTGGGAAATGCTCAATCTTTCCCGCTTCGTGAAGTTAAGATAGACACTTAAGAATTGATGTAGTAGTGAGAGCACAAGAGTTTATAATTCTCCAAAATGCAGATTCTTCCACTATATAAAAGAATAGTAGGATTACAAGAATATGTTTACAAAATTGACTCACACTATGGTGGCTCACTCAAGCTTGAGGGTTAGGACTTCCCAAGCTCTACACTCTCACACTCTAAGAGACTTCTCACTTTACAAGTGGATTGTTTTCTTCACCTTTGATGATTGGAAGTGAAGGGGATTCTCCCTATTTATAGTACTCGTCTATGGGTAGTTTTAGGGTTCTAGAAACTTCAACATCTCTAGAAGTTTCTAATCTCCATACACTTCCATCATCTTCTATAACCTTCCATAAGGTTCTAGAAGGCTTCACACTTCTCTAGAATATTCCGGAGGCTTCCACAATCTTCCATAAGCTTCTAGAGAGTTCTACACATTTCTAGAGTTCTCCGGACCGTTCTAGAAAATTCTTGACTTCTCTAGAGAGCTCTGGAAGTTTCTAGAATCTCTCCAATTAAGGAAGGAACCCAACAAATCTCCCCCTCCTGACTTAATTGGGGGGTAGTTGCAAACTGGCACCTTGACAGCAATCTTCAAACTTCTTTGTTGATATTACTTTGGTCATCATGTCTGACCAGTTGTCATCTGTGTGAATCTTGTCAAGATGTATTTTCTTTTCTTCAAGGACTTCACGGATCCAATGATACCTTATGTCAATGTGCTTTGTGCGGGAGTGAAACATCGAGTTCTTTGCCAAATAAATTTCACTTTGATTATCACACTTTAGGATATACTTTTCTTGATCAATTCCCAACTCCTGTTTCAAATTCTTCATCCACAACAGTTCCTTGCATGCTTCTATAGCTGCGATGTACTCTACCTCCGTAGTGGATAATGCAACACACTTTTGTAGCTTTGATTGCCATGAAACAGCTCCCCTTGCAAAGGTAGTTAGGTATCCCGATGTTTATTTTCGTGAATCGATATCACCGGCCAAGTCTGCATCTGTGTATCCCTCTAACACAGGTTTACTTTTTCCAAAGCATAGACACCTTTTGAAAGTTCCACGGAGGTATCGAAGGATTTATTTAATAGCACTCCAATGCTCAGTCCTTGGGTTGGCCAAGAAGCGACTAACAACACCAACTGCGTAGGCGATATCTGGTCTTGTGCATATCATTGCATACATGAGACTGCCTACTGTGGATGAATAAGGCAATTTCTTCATATCCTCTATGCCTTTTTCACTTGTGGTACTTTGTTTCCTACTTAGCTTGAAGTGTCCAGCAAGTGGGGTGTTAACCGGTTTTGATTTGTGCATGTTGAACCTTTCTAACACCTTCTCAACATACCTCTCTTGAGATAACCATAGCAGTCTCTTTGACCTATCACAAATTTTTCTCATCCCAAGGATTTGTTTAACTAGTCCCAAATCTTTCATGGCGAAGCTCTTGCTTAGATCTTTCTTCAAAGCAGCTACCTTTATGCGATCTTGTCCAACAATCAACATATCATCAACATAGAGCAGAAGTATGAGAAAGTCACCATTTTCATACCTCTTAATGAAGACAAAATGATCGCTTTCTGTCTTTTTGAAATCATGCTCTGCCATGAAAGAGTCGAATTTCTTGTACCACTGCCTTGGTGCTTGCTTAAGGCCATAAAGACTCTTTGTGAGTCGACATACTAGGTTCTCCTTGCCTGGAACTTTGAATCCCTCAAGCTTCTCCATGTAGATCTCTTCCTCCAAATCACCATGAAGGAATGCCGTCTTGACATCGGGTTGTTCAATCTCCAAGTCTTGCACTGCTGCTAGCCCAAGAACAACTCGGATGGATGACATCTTTACCACGGGAGAGAATATTTCTTCAAAATCAATACCTTTTTCTTGCCCGAATCCTTTGACGACCAACCGAGCTTTGTAGCGAGGTTTTGAGCTGTTGTCTTCGTTCTTTATCCGAAATACTCGTTTGTTCTTCAAGGCTCTTCTCCCTTCTGGTAGCTTCACTAACTCATAGGTATGATTCTCATGCAAGGATTGTATTTCTTCTTGCATGGCTCTTTACCACTCTTCATTATGTTCACCATTGATTGCTTCTTTATAGCTTTGTGGCTCCCCCTCATCAGTGAGCATAATGTACTCGTCTGTGTTATAACGAGTGGATGGTCTTCTCTCTCTCGTGGATCGTCTCGGCTCTGGTGCTGTGAGAGAGCTAGATTAAGGTTCTTCATGTTCTTGTTCATCACGACTCTCCTGGTTGCTTTGTTCTAACTCAGGCTCGCGATCTTCAGCATCATTGGCTTCTTGAGTGTCATTGTCTTCACTTCGAGCTGGAGTTAGATCGGAACTCTTGCTACTTCTCAATCTTGACCTCTCTGAATTTTTAATGTCTTCAATTGTTTGGTCTTCGAAGAATACAACATCCCTGCTACGAACAACCTTTATGTTGAATGGATCCCAAAGCTGGTACCCATATTCATCCTTCGGTGAACGAAGGTAGATGCACTCCTTTGTCTTTGCGTCAAGCTTAGCTCGCTCATCTTTGGGAATGTGTACGAATGCTCTGCATCCAAACACCTTGAGTTGTTTATATGAAGCCCTTTTTCCTGTCCAAACTTCCTTTGGGGTGGCCCCTTCCAAAGGAACTGATGGTGTGAGGTTTATAGCATCAACCACATTCATCACAGCTTCTCCCCAAAATGATTTTGGTAACTTGGCATGAGAGAGGACGCACCGAACTCGTTCCTCAAATAGTTCGATTCATTCTCTCTGCCAACCCATTCAATTGTGGTGTCTTAGGTGGAGTCTTCTCTAACCGAATGCCATATTTCTTGCAATAGGCTTCAAAAGGACCTCTATACTCCCCTCCATTATCAGACCGTACACACTTGATCTTCCGTCCAATCTCACGTTCTACTAGAGCGTGGAATTCCTTAAATGCATCGAGTACTTGATCCTTTGTCTTTAGTAGATATAACCATACCTTTCTTGAGTGGTCATCAATGAAGGTGACAAAATGTAATGCACCACCATTGGATCTCTCTGACATCGAGCACACATCGGTGTGTACGAGGTCAAGGATGTTCTTTCTCCTTGTGGGTGGAGAGGACCTTTGGAAGGCAACTCTGTGTTGTTTTCCAGCTAGACAATGAGTACAAGGATCAAGTTGTTTACCTTTCACATCGGGGAGGAGATCTTTTCGAGCGAGCATGTGAAAACCTTTCTCACTAATGTGCCCAAGTCTTTTATGCCATACCTCCATATCATCATAAGTAATATTTATCTCGCCTTTGAAGAGCTTGGCTTGCATCACGTACAATGATCCTTCCTTCTTTCCTCGAGCCATAATTAAGCTTCCTTTGGTGAGCTTCCACTTTCCTTCACCAAAGTAATTCACCAGACCGACATCGTCTAGTTTTCAAGCGCAGATAAGATTCAGGCGCATAGCCGGGACATGTCTCACATCTTTTAATACAAGGTTGCATCCGGTACTTGTTTCCAAGATGATGTCTCCTTTCCCGACGATGTTGCTGCTATCTTGATTTCCCATTTGTACCGTACCAAAGTCACCACTTTGGTAGGATGAGAAAAAACTTCTATGTGGAGTAACATGGAAGGAAGCACCGGAGTCTACAATCCAAGAGCTTTTATCACAAGCTATGTTTAGGATATTACCTTCTCCAACGAAATAGAGCAGATCTTCTCTTGATACTACAGCTGTAGTACTCTTCTCTTCTTGCTTCTTCGTTGGGCTGATCTGGTCTGGCTTGATGTTACTTGCCTTTTGATCTCTCTTCAAGGATCGGCATTCAGTTTTCTTGTGGCCTATCTTTCCATAGTAGTAGCAAGTAATCTTCGAGCGTGGCTTGGATCTACCTTGAGATTGATGTGGATCTCGGCTCTTGCTACGTCTCCGAGTTTCATGCCTACTCTGGTTCTCAATAACGTTGGCCTCGGAATAGGTGGGATCGCCTCGTTCCATTCTCCTTGCTTCTTCTCCAAGAAGGCTATCACTAACGGTATTCATGGTGAGCTTTCCTTCCGGAGCTGAGTTACTAAGGGTAACCACAAGTGTATCCCAGCTTTCCGGCAAGGAACTAAGGAGTAGATGGGATTGCAACTCATCATCGATCTTCATATCAACTTTTGTTAACTGATTTACGAGCCCCTTGAAGTTGTTCTAGTGCTCAATCATACTTTGGCCATCCTTATACTCTAGTTTCACCAACCATCGAACTAAATTGGCTTTGTTACGAGGTGTTTTCTTTTGAATCATGGACTCAAGCTTTGTCCATAACTCATAAGCATTTGTGTACATAGAAACATGCTCGAAGAGAGTCTTATCAATGTACTTACGGATCATTGCAACGGCCTTGCGATTGAGTAGCTCCCATTGAGCATCGCTCTTGCCTTCGACCTTGTCTTTGTAGATGATGGGCTCATGCAAATCCTTGCAGTATAGATGGTCTTCCATCATCGGTTTCCAATGTGAGTAGTTGTTGGCCGTGAGCTTGAACATGTCTCCATCATGAGTGACGTTGTCCTCCATCTTGAACTGCACGAGCTAATGACGGTTTCAAGTGAACCTGGCTCCGATACCACTATTGGGAAATGCTCAATCTTTCCCGCTTCGTGAAGTTAAGATAGGCACTTAAGAATTGATGTAGTAGTGAAAGCACAAGAGTTTATAATTCTCCAAAATGGAGATTCTTCCACTATATAAAAGAATAGTAGGATTACAAGAATATGTTTACAAAATTGACTCACACTATGGTGGCTCACTCAAGCTTGAGGGTTAGGACTTCCCAAGCTCTACACTCTCACACTCTAAGAGACTTCTCACTTTACAAGTGGATTGTTTTCTTCACCTTTGATGATTGGAAGTGAAGGGGATTCTCCCTATTTATAGTACTCGTC